TTGAGCCGGTGAGATTAGAACCGCTGAACTGCAGATAACAGTCAGCTGAAGTGGCCTGCAGTACTGCACCCTAACCACTGCACCACCTCAGCTGGTCTTCTCACGCTCAGGAGCGCCAGAAACTGAAAGAGCAGCTCCCTGGCATTAATGAGCTTCTGCGTGCATGTGTGCCAGAAACCGGAAGACCAGGTCACTGGCGTGCACATGCATGCCGGAAACCAGAAATTCAGGGTCCCGGTGTGCACATGCGCCTAGGGGAACTGCTCTTCCGGTTTCTAGTGCTCCCACGCATGCGCAGCAGGGAGCTGCTCTTCCAGTTTCCAGTGCTCCCGTTTCAGCATTTGGTACCAAAAAGATTCACCAACACTGATCTAGTATCACCCAGCCATTGTGGAGTGGTCTAAAGCCAGTCTGGATTACTGCTATGTCAACCGAATAAGGGAAATGGTTGGTTGATTTGAAAATACACTAAATCATAATAGGGATCTTGTCTAAAGCTTGATTCATCCCAAAGACCTTTCTACATGCTTTTAAAATAGTTTCCTTCAAAATGAAAATCGTCCTGCAACATCAATTTCTAGTACTGTATAGTTTTGGTATAAGAATAGGAACAAGAATGTATATGATAGCTATTGTCAAATCCCTATCATTGCTGAGAGACAGACATGGCAATGGATGGCCCTGTTGCCCTTATGAGCCATAGTGTTTCCTTTTCCTGCTTTTATTGAAAAAAAGAGCTTGTCTCTCATCTTTTGGAAGCAGAATAAGAGGCAGAAATCTGCTGTCATTTTCTGTTGTTTGTTTTATAAAGTCTGGTCTCGATTTCCTATATTTTTAACCAATGGATTAATAACTGCTAGTTTCACAAACATATTCTGGGAAAGAGAGATTCCAGATTGTTTTTGATCTACTGGAAAGGGATTGCTATTTTGTAAAAATTTAGAAATCCAGTTTTTTAGAAGAGAGGTAAAGGTAATGGTTCCCCTTGCACATATGTGCTAGTCGTTCCCGACTCTAGGTGGCGGTGCTCATCTCTGTTTCAAAGCCGAAGAGCCAGCGCTGTCCGAAGACGTCTCCGTGGTTATGTGGCTGCATGACTAAATACCGAAGGCGCATGGAACACTGTTACCTTCCCACCAAAGTGGTCCCTATTTTTCTACTTGCATTTTTACATGCTTTCGAACTGCTAGATTGGCAGTCATTTAATCAAATTACTAACCCCTTTCTATATCGCCCCCTCCCCCCAAAAAACCTGTTTGCTAGAATTCCAAGAAAGTCACTTAAACTGCTCATTTCAGGTAGCTGAAATACCTTCAGCACAAATCACATTTTTACTCGACTGATTATGGTTTTCAAAATAATGATGCAGCATATCCCAAAACAGCTATGGTGTAACAGTAGATCTTATGAACATAAAATTGCAATCCTATCTGACACTACAGCTTTTCTCTCATAGATGTCAGTAAATATAGAGTGTGGATTATTGTTCGTGTGACTTTTCCACTAAGAGAAAATAAGCAGCTTTCTTATTCATCCAGAAAAGCCCTCACATACAGAAATATAGCCCTTAACTGGTTTAACCCAGCACTTTTCTTCTCTTGTCACGCACAGACTTGGAGATTCTATGAAACTTCAGGATTAGCTTATTTGTATTTCATTGTTTTCTTTTCTAGCTGTAATCCGTTTAGCTATGGTATGCTGAGTTTATCTGATTAGCACCTAATGAGCCAAGCGAAACTGGAGAGAAAGTGGCGTTGCCGTCCTGCAACATAGGAGAAATCAAGTTTTAGTAACCTTGTTTCTCCTGAATACTTGAAATTCTTTAACTGTCTTTGCTAGCAATATCAAGTCTGGTTTCTTTCTGAGCTGTGCTACAGTGAGATGATTCCAACTGTTTGGGTAGAAGAATATCCTGAATTTGACGTGTAAAGGAAATAGATTGGGATGAGGCGACAGACTATAAAACAATGCATTGCTCTATTCCAGGGGTGTCAAACTCGATTTCAATAAGGGCAGCATCAGGACTGTGTTTGAGTTGGGGAGGGGGCATGGTCAGCTTGAGGTCACTCATGTTGGAGGCACCTGTGGTGGACCAAGCACTCTGCCAGCAAAAACAGATTCCTGAGCTCTGTTTTTGGTCTGCTACTCTTTGCCAGCGAAAACGGAGCTTAGGGGACATGTGTGGCCCTCCCAGGCTCTTTTCAGCCGCAACGACCTCCTGCAGCCCTCTGCCAGCGAAAACGGAGGTCGGGGGTGCACACAGGCCTTGGGCACCCCTGCTCTATTCCTTTCCCCACCTGGCATTCTTCACCTGGATAACTATACAGTTTCAGCATGTGGTTCCATACAGCTGTTGGGTATTAGTTTAGAGAAGACAAATAGTAATTGTATCCACAAGTTTTGGAAAAATATATTTTCATTCCATTGCTGTCAGTCAATTGCAGTATGTAAGAGCAAGGCAGAAGAGTGTGAATATTTAATAGCTGAAGTTGAAATTTGTTTAAAACCACCCTAATCTTTATGGATGATCTGAGTCAGGATTGAAAACATAAAAGTTTCAATCACTGAAAACTACTCTTGGGAATTTGTTAACACAAAATGGATTTTGAGCTAGCAGATGCATATTGAAACTGAGTTGGCAACTGAAGGTACATAATAAAAATGGGGCTGTGCTATTGTCTAGCTAAATAAATCCTCGCTGCTTCACCCTTTGCAGTTTTAAAAAGTTAAAGCAATGAGCCTAAGCCGAAGGCTTCATTCCAGTAGATCTAATGGAACTTTTTTTTAGTGCAAAATGGTTTAGGATTGTTTATAGTAATTATTTTTTCCGGAACAACAAATAAATAAAACACTTATATTGTCTTTGTTGATATTTGTACAAGTTTCAAGTTTCAAGTTTTATTGAACTTGTATGCCGCCCTATTCCCCGAGGGGACTCAGGGCGGCTACAAATCAGAAGGAGCCATCTTAGAAGAGGTTGGGTAATACATGATATGAGAAGGAATGCCTCTTCTAAGATGGCTCCCTTTCTTATAAATACAGTAATTATCTACTGAAAGTAACAGGCTGATATTATAGGTAGTCTCTGTTCAGCAACCACAATTGAGATTGGCAACTTGGTCATTAAGTGAAATGGTTTACCATGACACTGCTTACAATTTTATTATGTAGTGGGCTTCAGTAGACAAAAACCAGACCAGCATAGCTGAAACAGCTTTCATTGTCTCAAAAATGAACTGAGGAACTGCAGGCAAATGCCTGTGATTTACACTCTAGGCCCAAAGGGCCTTAACCAATCATAGAACTAGAAAAAGCCCGCCCAAATATAAATGTTCTACATTCCCCTCCAAAACAGTTAGGGTTATCTAAAGGTTAGTTTCACTTTATTAATTAACACAACTTTATACATTCAATACATAACAATTTTACTTCAACTTTCCTTTGCTTTACAGGCCTGTAAAGTGAATGTCTTTAATGCAAGGATGAGTCATTATTTTTTCAACTCCATCATAGTTGCAAATTGTCACTAAAGAAGGCAGAGGCTAAGCAAGGGTTATCTGTATTGTAATGACCATAAAAGTGTAATGATATCCCCCTTCCCCTCTTTTTTGTCACTTCCTTTTCAGGTTTGCAGTGATGTGTGGCTACATGTCTCAGTTTGAAACTATACAAAACAAAATCAGGAATGGCTATCTTTTTAAGGTAAGTTTTGGGTAGTCTTCTTAAACTGCTTGCTACTGTTATAACTTAATTCACCCTGACAGTACTGAAGATTATGTGTAAAGTAAAACTAATTCTGCCTGGGAGGCACAGTTTACTGTCAGAGTTATGTTGATGAGTGTGTGAGTGTGTGTGTGTGTGTGTGAGTGTGTGCATGTGTGTGTGTGTGTGTGTGTGTGTAATCTTCCAGATAACTTAAACTAGTTTTCAAACTGTAAATAATTCTTTTGGATTAGCTACAATATTTTCATCCTGCTCCCACCCTAAATGCGGAAGGAGCAGCCTGAGATCCTGCTAACCTGGAAGCCCAAAGTATGTGGTTCAATATGTTTGCCTTAGAAATATTCATTTGCTCCTGGTTCCATGAATTCCAACTTCTGAGGGTGTCTCTGCTCACAACAGATTTAAAATACTGTTCTCTTAAAATCAGCCCCATCTTACTCCTGAGTTCAGTTAATTGAGCGAGGATCCCCGAAATGCATTCCAGTTTTATCATTTCTGTCTACATGTATCCTTGGGTTGTCATTAGAGATTTTTAATGCATACATAACCTTAATGAACTCTAATATTTATGGAATACGTAAGCAAATAAGATGCCTACATTTATTGTGGCAAAACAGCTGAAAACAGGAATGGCAGATCTTTGTTATGATTTTCTTTCTTACAGGAACATCTTGACAAAGCTATTGCACTTAAACCACAAGATCCCCTTTTGTATTATCTAACTGGAAGGTGGTGTTATGAAGTAAGTATCCTGTGATCCTTTTAAACATTTACTCATCAGAAGTTCATGAAGATTTTTTTTTTGAAAAGGGCAAAAAAAAAGGGAGGGCAGCTGAGTAATTTTAATAAAGTTTGGAACTGGATTAAAACTATACTTCACACTGGTAGAGAGATGCACTTTAAAGTCCTAAAGGGTTTATGTCCAAAGTAATTTCACAACAGCCTCTTCCTAATTTAAGATGGAGAAACACTAACCCTAAGGTAGAGAAACAACTTTAGTTACTACAAATGCCTGCTTTTATTTATTTTTTTCCTTCTGTTTAATAGTTGTTAGTTGTCCTAGGTTTAAGTTTATTGGATTTATATGCCGCTCTTCTCCCAAGGACTCAAGGCAGTGTACAACATAAAAGAAAACACATATTACAAAAATTAAAAGGGACATTAAATAAAGTAT